GGAGGTGCGCGCCGCCATCTTTGTGCCGGGCAGGGGGGCTCTCGGCCAGTGCGGCTCCCACCTTCGCTTCAGCGGTCAGCGAGCGCCTGGAAACAAACACCCGCAGGCACGGTAGCCCAAGCTTTATTTAAATTTGGAAGAAAGGGGACGGAGAACGCTGCTGCTCTCTCTGCAAAAAGAGCATCATCTGCAGGAGGGGCGTGAGGGCGGAGAAGTGGAGCTACGAGAACTTTCCTCTTCGTCCGTTTCCCCTCAGCCTCCTCGGAGCTGTGCGCCCCTGCGCCTTCGCCTTCTCTCCAAGCCCTGGCTCCTCTCGTGCCTTTGTACCCTCTGCTGGGACGACATCGCCCGGGATTGGCTAGGTACTGTACTGAGCTGTGCCTCTGCTATTCCGCCTGCCTCTCCAGATCGGCAGGCCCACGCCGCCCCGCTGCGTCCCGGGGTGGAACCTTCCTCCCCGCCTCGACGGTCGCGGGGGCGGCAGAGGCTCGGGGTGGCGTCCCTGGAGGGTAAGGCGCCAGGCGCTGCTGCAGCTGGAACAGGGGACTGGAGCCGGGCAGTTGGTCGGAGATTTGGGGTTCCCAGGGTCATGCCCCCCAACCCCGTGGAAGGTCGGCACCCGCTCCCCGCGATCCTCGCAGCCTTCCGGAGCCCACATTCAGGGCGTTGCACCCCCTTGCGGCCACTGTAAGCAGCTACTTGCTTAGAGGCCCCGAAGTTGAGAAAAGGCTGTCCAGGAGAAGGGGAGCAGGACCTGAGGCCCCCGACCTCCTCCTGCTCGGTTTTCCCCATCCAGGCATCCTTCCCAGTTTAGGAGGAAGGGGTGCCTGCGGGGTAAACAGGGTCTGCATACGCGTCGAGAATATCTGTCTTGCAGGCAGGCAGGTCGTGGCTCTCAAATCCATGAGTGAGGTGGCTGTCACAGTCACAGCTTACACTCCAGCATCGGAGGTGAGACAGGTTTTGCCAAGTCTGAGGCTTTGCGCTGAGTGGAGTCCAGATCCTGAGCCAGCTCTGGGTCCTCAGGGTGGTGCAGACCCACAAGCCCTTGGTATGTGGCGGAGCCAACAGTGGCCCCCACCATAGGGGCCACTACTGGCACCCACCACCAGCTGTTCCCAGCACTGCAAGAGAAGGACAAAGGGGAGGGGGCGAGGATGGCTCGATTAGCCTCCCTCTCTCCAAGGGCTGGGGGCAGCAACAAGGGAGGTCCCTAATTAGATCCTGGAGTGCGTGGTAGGCACCCAGAAGAGGGTGTCTTCACCCCAGTGCATGGCATTTAGGAAGGACGGCAGGACTGATCTGCCCAGCCGCTAGCCTTGCAGCATTATCTGAATATAGGCGTATTACTGATGAGATTGCTAGTGCCGAAAGAAGTAGTAATATACACCCAAGACTGCATCTCTGAATCTAACTATGTCTGTCACAACTGGGAGGAGAGAGGAGAGAAAAGGAGAACATGGGTCTTGGCAAAGGAATTCTGTCTAAGAGGCCTAGAGAACTGTATCAGGAGAGAGTGGGTACCCAGGGAAGGAGCCACTGGCAGAGGGAGGCGAATGGTGGTCCACAGCAGGGAAAGCCATCTCCCACCTGAAGACTTCAGGGCCCCAGCCAGCCAGGTAGGTGAAGAGCCGTGGTCCCAGGTCCCTGGCAGGGTTGAGTGGAAACCCACAGTTGACACCCATGGAGAGGCCAATGACCAGGATCAGCAGCCCCACCACCACAGGCTCCAGACCAGCGGGCACGCCCTTGTTGCGTCTGTCCAGGATGGCCAAGAGCCCCACAATCAGCATCCCAGTGCCTATGACCTGGGTTTGACAGAGGCAGAGGGGACCCCATCAGTTGCTGAGGGTACCATCTGCCTCCCTTATTTAGCCACTCCACGCCACCACTCCTGTCATCTGGCTTTGTCCAACACGGGCAGCTAGGGGATCGAGGAGGGAGGTGGACTCCACCACCTTGGGACTGTGGTCCCAAGGGACAGAGCAAAAGGTGAGACTTCCCAGGTCTCCTTCTCACACACACCTACCTGATCCAGAAAGCCATTGTTCAGGGACAAATAGGGGGCAGGATAGGTGGCAAAGATGGAGGCTGTCTCCTTGGGGCCAGTCACTGTCAGGTTCCCACCGGTGTAGTTCTGTAAGGCGTCTTTGAGAGGGGGGCATCCAGTGTTTCTAAGTTTGCTCACCCAAAACCATTCCCAGGCACGCTTCCCCACACACAGCGCCCCAGCTCTGTCCCCTGTTACCATAGTAAAGAATGTAGGTGGCTCCCGAGGCAGAGAAAGCAGCCAGCAGCTGCACCAAGCAGTAAATGGGGAACTTGGCCCAGGGGAATCGTCCCAGGAGACACATGGCCAGCGAGAAAGCTGGGTTCAGGTGGGCTTCTTCAAGGATCAAGGAAGGAAAACCAGCATCCATTCAGTGTTGCTGCCAGACATTGTTACCACGTAACACCACTGTCCCTTCCCACAACTCTTTAAGACAATGTGGTTTCTATGACACCAGTGAAGGAATTTAGGCTCCAAGAGTGCAAGTGACTTATCTAGGTGACACAGCAAAGCCCAGATTTGAATCTAAGTCTGGCTGCTCTTTCTGTCACAGTATACCATGTCCCAGGGCTCCAGCCAAGCACAAGAGGCCCATACTTAACCTCAGTGCCCTGCCATAGATTTTTGCCTACGTGACCCAAGGGTGTAATGAGGGGGAATGGAGAAATACAGGAAGGGCAAGGGCTAGGTGACGCCAAAGGCATATCTCAGTCCAGGGCACTGGTCAAGCTCAAGGAGATAATGTCCATGAGTCACCAGAGGTTCTGCCTTTTCCCCATCACCAGATCCCCCGCTCCCCAGCACATCCCACCCTCTGATGCCCAGACACTCATCACCTGAGACGTTGCCGGCCACGTAGATGGCTATCGTCACGGAGAAAGAGCCAGCCAGAAACATGGTGAAGAAGTTCCCTTTGGTTTCTCCACTGGTGACAGCCTGGGCCACAGCCCCCTGGGTGAGGAGCTGGTGGGGAGCGGGGAGATGAGGAACAGGGAGCCCAGGAAACCAGCCAGAGAGAAGCGGTACGGGAAAGAGCCGGAGAGATGAAAGCAGACCTGAGGGCCCAGCAGGAAAGGAGAAGGGTAGAATGAGGAAAGGGAAAGAAGGGGAGAAGAAGAGGAAGAAGAAAGAAGGGAGAATGTGAGAGATGAGGAAGGGCAAGAATCAGAAAGTAGGGAGAGATGAGAACTGAGAGACAAAGAAAAGGAAAACTTGAGAGTTGAAAGGAAGTAGGATGCCAGGGAACAGAAAAAAGGATACTAGGAAAAGCCAGGAATTTTGGCCCACTTCCTCCCCCCTACCCCATTAGCTTGCCTACCAGGAGCACAAATACACCCAGAAATTCTGCCAGGCACTGTCGGACCAGGAGGCTGCGGATCTGGAGGTGGGCCCTGATTCTAGCCAGGGGCTCAGTGTAAGCCATGGTGGGGACACCCTGTTGCTAATCACTGCTGCTGCTGTCTGCAGAGGCCCACAGCCACTGACTGCTAGGGGCAAGATAAGGAAGAGACTTTAAAACCAATTAGCCTAGCTCCTGAGCAGCAGCTAATACCTGTGCACGTGTGAGGGGCAGAGCGTAGCTTTCTGTTCATGTGTGGAGGCCAGAATGTGGGGAGCCTGTCTGTGGGAAGGCTGCATGCTCAGGCACAGCCTGGAGTTTGGCCCTCTGTCTTCTGTCCTTCATCGCCACTCTGCACAGGCCTGGCCTGATGTTGGAAGAACCCGGCTTCGTGTACATTAGTTCTCTTGGTCCTGAAGACAATCGTATAAAGTAGTATTGCCCCCGCTTACAGCTGAGACTGTTGAGCCTTAGAATTCCCTAAGATCACATAGTTAGCAGATGAGTAAATTTAAATCCATGTCTCTTTTTTGTTGGAGACAGGGTCCTGCTATGTAGTTGAGGCTGGCCTTAAACTCCCTATGTAGCCCAGGCTGACCTTGAACACGTGGTAGTCCTCCTGCTTCAGCTTCCCGGGTGCTGAGATTACAGGTGAGCAGCACCATGCCTGGCCCAAATCTGTCTTCTCACGCTCTACCTGGTATTCTACAATGCCTCTCATCTGGAGCATGAAGCCTTTCCCCAGACTGTTTGGATAACTGAAGAACTCAATAGGCATCCCGGGAGACTGGGCTGAAGTTTACAGACTGTTGGAATGAAAGCAACATGTGGTTAGGATAGGGTTTGCAAGTGAAACAATACAGGACATGTAATTTATAGGATTATAATAGTCACCCAAAGAGTCATATACAAAGAGAGTGCAGGAAATCTGTTTACACACTAAAAAAAGCAAAAGAATCCAGCTGAGGACCTGGATCCCACAGCAATGTCCTGCATGAGTCCAGCTGTAGACCTAGAGCCCATAACAACGACCCCCACGAGTCCAAGTGGAGGCCAAGAGCTCAGGACAATGTCTCATGCAGGCCTGTTTCACAGATCTGCACTGGGAAGGCCTAAAGGTCAGTGGTAGAAGCTAGAAGGTCTGTGCCAGTAGGATGAAGGATCTGTGCCAGCAGGCTGAGGGATCTGCACTGGAACCAGAAAGCGACACTCAAAGTAAGAACCAGAGTGCCCCTGAAAAGTACCACAGCCGTCCTCAGCAACAGTGAGGTCCTGAGCTCCTCCAACGATGAGAACAGCTGAGTTCATATCAGGAAAGCCAGCACAACAAGCTTCTCCAGGACGCTGAGCAGTGCACTATCTTCCCCTCTGGAGCCAGGAAGTGATGCTCAAAGTAGGGACCAGAGCTCCCCCAAAGTGAACCATAGCCATTCTCAGCAACAAGGTCCCAAGCTCTTTCTACGATGAGAACAGCCGAGTTCATATCAGGAAAGCCAGCATGAAAAGCTTCTCCAGGAGAACCAACAGCTCCCTAACAGCTCCTCAACTTCTTCCCCCCCAGTTCTGCCTCTTACACTGCCAGCAACAGTCATCAGGTGGGCCTCCCACACCCAGCACCACACTGGTTCAGTTCAGCTGGGTGTTACAAGTTGATGTCCAGTTGTCAATCCACCACACCACACATTGAATGCTTGTACTTTTGTGCAGTCTTACCTTGGCTGGAGAATGCTGTGTCTCTGTGTCTGGTGCCATGGCTTCAGATGAAGACAGCAGACCCATGCTCCTCTCTGGATGCATGACACTCTGCATAACACATACCCAGATCCTATTTCTTCACATCCCAGGTCTCCAATGGGAAACATAGTCTCTGCCTTCCTAAGGCTTCTGACCTAAAGGTAGACACGGGTAATGTACACATTTTTTGAATATACAATTTGAAATCTGGGACCAGGATTTCTGTGACCCTGTGGGCTCTAGCACAGCCCTGCCACCTCTGTGCAACAATACTTCTTCGCCGGCTCTTAACAGATCCCCCACTCCCCAGCTACTAAGAACATCAGCTGTGATTCCACACAGCTGCCACACAGTAGGGCAGTGCCCCCCACCACGGGAAGTTGCCTCACCAAGTCACGCGCCCCCTTTGGGGTCTGTGTCCAATGACTGTTTGATTCAAGGGTACAAAAGCCTGGCCTCTCAGCCTCCGTTTAGGACAGCGCTGGAGAGCTGTTCCAACTCCGGAGCTGACATCTTCAGTGTGTGCAAGTCTCTGCCTCTGCCTGGCCTCTGCCTAGGCTCTGCCTTCCTTACCTGCGTATCCCCCAAGTGCTAGCAACCCTTGGTAAACCTTGCTCATGCATGTCTTCATCTTTAAGTCTTCTCCAGGAAGCCAAATTTAAGGTGATGGGTGTCAGGAGGGATCTTAGTGAGTACTTTCTAAGTTGGAATTTGCGTAGTGTATTATTACCCTGCAGGTTGGCAATAGCTTGGTTCTGGGAAGTGGGAAATGATGGCCCATACTAAGGTAAAAATGCCCGCAGCAGTCATTTACACTGGTTACCATCATTGAATGCCTTTTGAAGTTTTTAGAGAAAGGATCTGAATTAACTTTTTTCCTCATCAGTAGGTGATAATACAAAATGGCCCCTTGTTAGAGCAGGAATTCGGGGTCCAGGTAGCAATCATAGTCCTGGCTCAGGTCTGGTTCACACTACATTTTCTGTGACCTTGGATACACCCAGTTATCTTTTTTTTTTTTTTTTTTTTTTTTTTTTTTTTGTCTTTTTGAGACAGGGTCTTGCTATGCAGTTCAGGCTGGCCTTGAGCTCACTTTGTAGCCCAGGCTGGTCTCCAACTTTCAACGATCCTCCTGCCTCAGCCTCCCAAGTGCTGGGATTACAGGCATGAGCCATCACACCTGGCTACCACCCAGTTATCATTGCCCAGTATCCTGACAAATAATTGAAATGGATATCCTGTGAAGTTCCAGAAAACCCACATTGGTTTCTTGACTCATGAGCCAAGTGACGAAGGCCAGTTGGAAGTCTGATGCTGCCCTTCACCAAGATAATAAAGTAAAAACCAATACTGTACCCTAGGGAATGAGGGAGATTCAAGCCATCTCAGAATACAGGGGAGGTGACCTCTGTCATAGAACAAGTTTAGCTCCTGCAAAAACTGGTTAGATCATGGCATGGTTACATAATGAGACCCTATTTTTTATTTTTTTAAATTTTTAAAAAAAATTTTAAATTTTTTTTTGAGATCCTATTTTTTAAAAAAAGTTTAAGACATTGCTACATTGACAAAACTTTGAGAGGTCCAGTGGTCTAGATATCCTCTGAAAAGTACAGGGTGGATTACTGCATTTCATGCCTCCTATCACTAAGAAGTACAGTGCTAATATTCTTAGGATTCTGGAGCAATACACCTCACACTTGGGAATACAGTACTGTGTTATTGAACCCAGGGACTTCACACTAAGCTATATCCCTAGGCCTTTTGAGAAGTCTCATTAAATTGCTAAATTTGCCTGGGTTGGGCTCAAACTTAAGATCCTCCTTGCCAAACGACAATGAACACTGTCAGGTATGAGAGGGCCCCAAAGGAGAAAAGGCCTCTGTGGTCATGTGACCCCCCGTGGCGGGGGAATATCTGTGTAGGAAATGATGCTGTGTGTGCTCTGGTGAGCTCTAACGCGAGAATCACAGTGCAGACTCCTAAGGTTCTGAGCAGATGCAGTGCTGTGTGCCCCGAGAAATTCGTACCATTCAAAAAGCAGCTCTTGGGGTGCCACCAGGCTCCAGTAGAGACATCAGGTAGCCACAAGTTTGAGGCAGGGTACACAGTGAGTTCAAGGCCAGCCTGAACTACTTAATAAGACCATCTCTAAGGGGGAGAGGACCTACATACAGCCAGGCCTGGTAGTACACACATGTAATTCCAGCCTCTAGGAAGCTGAAGCAGGAGGATCTTAAGTTTGAGCCCAACTCAGGCAATTTAGCAATTTAATGAGACTTCTCAAAAGGCCTAGGGATATAGCTTAGTGTGAAGTCCCTGGGTTCAATAACCTATTGCTCCCTCCCCTCCAAAAAAACCCCATACATCCGTTGATATATACTGTAAATCCTCTAGGGAATAATGACAAGAAAAGTTAGGGTAGAATGGTAAAGTTTTGTTGATCTGAGAAGGGTTGGGTCTAAAGATGGAGAACCCACAGGCACAGAAGGCCAAGGCCATCTGTATAGATACCTTTTCTGTTCATTGGGTTGCAGCTAGTTCTACTTGCCAGGGATTTACAGAGTAGTTGATCCATCAACATGGACTTTGCATTATGTTATTTCACAGGGAGGCGTTTACACTATAGCGAAGTAGGTATAGCAGTGGGCACATGACTCGTGTTTTGGTTTGGTTATAGGGGTTTTTTTTTGGTACTGCAGGTTGAACCCAGAGCTCCATACTAGGCAAGCACTTTATCATTCAGCCCTACTCTAGGCCTTAGGCATATAACTCATTCTTGAGAGAATCTAATTGGAAACTTGAGATATGAAGAAGTAGGATCTGGCTGGTAGCAGTTCATTGGCCTCTTTAAGATGCAGTTGAAAGCCAGGCATGGTGGCACACACCTGTAATCCCAGCACTCGGGAGGCTGAGGCAGGAAGATCACTGTGAGTTCGAGGCCAGCCTGGGCTACAAAGTGAGCTCAAGGCCAGCCTGAGTTGCATAGTGAGAACCTGTCTCAAAAAAGACAAAAAAAAAAAAAAAAGATGCAGTTGAGGTGCCAGCTTCAAGATGGTACTAGGAAGATGAACATGATATCTACCCTAAATTAAAGATCACTGTGCAATGTTGTGTCCTCAGCAAGTAGATTGATCCAAGAATTACGTGGATATGGACTAGATATTCAAATGGCCCCATTTTTCCTTTAT